GACAAAACATAATATAGGTATCATATTAAAATTTTTCTAGCACAACTAGAAAAGAGCGTTATAAATAACACACCCAAAGCAAAAAGATTATATTTTGATTACAATCTTCCACTATACATTCTTGCAATGCTGAAAACAAAAAGAAAACTGTACAGAAAAATACACCCAAAGTAAAAAGATTATATTTTAATAATAATCTTCTTCCACTAAACATTCTTGCAATGCTGAAAACGAAAGGAAACCTGTACAGAAAAATTATACAAAATAATGATCTTCGTTTAAAAACTTTCTTAAATAAATATAATAAGTTAGTCCACAATTTGGTTGCCTAATATAAAATACATAAATGGCTTGAGACTTGTAAAAACATTGATGGCTTGAGAAGAAAAAGTATTAAAAAACTTTCATAACATGGACCCCAATTCCACAAAATTATTGAAAATAACCAAACACTAACATCAGATATAAGATACTGCCACACCTTTCTTAAATTATTTTGAAAATAGCTATACATTTTTATATGATTCCAAATTTGATGAGACGGATCTTAACAAAATCAATGCCTGGTACAGCCATTTTTTACAGAATACTATAAAGTTCTACAAGGAATAAATTCTGCCCCAGGACATGAAATCTTGTACCAGAAATTCATGAATACATCTTAAAAATTTATAAGTACAGTTTAAAACACCAAGTGAGTACAGACCAATAACTCTTCATTCTGTGATTGGTAAAAATTTTAAAATAAAAAACCATCCACTCCAGAAGATTGGCGATACGATTCTGCAGTACCAAGATGGTTTTAGAGAAAAACAGTCGACAAAACATCCGCTAATTACCCTGGTCTTAAATCTGCAGCAACACGGCATAATAGGACACCACTCAACAGCTCTTTTCCTTGACATTAGCAAAGCCTTTGATAGTGTGTGGCATAGAGGTTGGTTATATAAGCTCTATCTTATGGACTGCACAGAATATCCAAAGACTAATTAAAAATTTATTGGAAAACCAATCTCTTAAAGTAAAAATCAACAAATTCATCTCAACTTCTTTTTCAATGAGTTCCTCAAGGCTTCCTATTATCAACAACACCCTTTAATTTATTTATTCAAAATATAATAGATGTCAACTATCTGTTTCAAAAAACTTACATACTGCAATACGCCAATGACACAGCCTTAATAGCCCACAACAAATTCCTTTCAACAGCTATCAAAAACCTGCAATCGTCAATTAACATGATCTTCTAATTGGTTCGCAAGATGGCGAATAAAGATTAACGCCAGGAAATCTCAATTTAATATTTTCTATTACAAAATCAAAGATGACTCTCCACAAATCTTAATAGAAAACCAACATAATATATCCCCCACAAACAATATTAAATATCTTGGAATGATTATTGACTCCAAACTTAATTTTAATTGCCACAACTGAACCATCAAACAAAAGGCCATTACTAGAGCAAAATATTTTAAATCTTTAACCTTTAAGAAGCAAAACAGCCACCAACATAGACAAAATTATCTGTTGGCCACTGTTGGACTGGGATTCCATACCCTGCTTAAAATACCCCATAGAGATCCATAAAAATAATCTATTGGGCGCTAACAGACTCAATAGGTGCATTTGTCCATGCTTTTTCCGGATACGGCCCAATAGAAAATTTATAGGAAATTACCTATAGGTACACCATCAATTCTACATTTCCCCTATTGAGACTGATAGCAAATATCTCAAGGAAGGATATATATGGATATCCCTATAGAGGAACCATAAAACATTTGACAAAAATTTGTTAAAACCTATGGTTTCCTATGAGAGAAAAACTAATTTCTACATTTATGTGTATTTTCTCTATCAAATAAATCAAGGAAGGATATCCCCAAAGAACAACCATAAATTCCAACTATGGGTCCTATTCAAACTGATACACCCTATAGAAACATACAATCCGATACAAAAATCTATTGAACAGGGTCTCTATTTGATATTTTAATCAGGGTAGTATTTCAAACCCACAGAAGACCTAAAAAATCTGTAGACTGCAGAAATAACAAGTCTTTGGCATCTAACCAAAATTAGACATACAAGAAACCCCTTATTCAAACCTCAAATCTCTTTGAGACATTCTGCTAAACAAGTACAAACCTAGGTTCAAGCTTAAATTAATGAATCCCTTAATTTTTTTTTGAAATAAAAGGCACCCCAAAAAAACGAAATTTCCAGTGACATCCCTGTGGAAAGTTATTTTGGAACAGATAGATCAATAACAATATTTTTTTTTCTTTTTAAGATAATTAGGTTAAACTACTGCCGGACATTGGATCCGATCACCTAGCCATGAAAATATCAATCAACTTAAAAAGCAAAATAATTCGACATTAATCATTTAAATATAATTTCGAAAAATGTAACATAGAGGCAGTTAACAATACTCTTAAAGAATACATACAATGCGAAAAGGACATAAACCCAGTAAAAATAGAACAATTTCAGGAAAAAATTTCCAAGACGATATTAGAAAACACACCAAAAAAAAAGTACAGTTTTACAACTATGACCTTCCACCATATATCATAACATTGATAAAAGCCAAAAGAAGAAGATACAGAGAATATAAAAGAAGTTTAAATCCAAATGAAAAAAGGAGCATCAACAAACTAAACAATGATGTACATCAACTAATACAACAATACAAAAAACACAAATGGCTAGATACTTGCAAAAAAATAAACCATTCAAATGGCAGAAACTTTTTTTACCAAATCAAAAAACTAACAAAATACAAAACTAAAAAGAATGTACCTGATATTGAACATAACAATAAGATCTACAGATCGCAGATGAAGAGAAAGTTGATATTTTAGCTGAACACTTTAAAGACATTTACACAGTCAAAAACAACATGGACTATGACAAAGAAAATGAAAATATGGTTAATGATTGGTATAATGATTTTTTTTTCTACGGAGACCAAAACAAACAAAGAACTGCAAGAAAACATCTATTTTAAAACCCTACATAAGATGAAAAAGTCAGGACCCGGTTATGACAACGTTTTGTGGAGTGTCATTAAGAAATTGGATTACAACATTCACCTTCACATAATCAAAATTTACGAATACTGTATAAATAACAATTACTTTCCACAAGCCTGGAAAAAAGGAATCATAATTGCTATCCCAAAAAACAACTCCGCCACAAATACAGTACAAAATTTCCGTCCTATCACATTACTACCAGTCCTAGGCAGACTATTTGAAAAAATAATTAGAAACAAAATATACAAACATGTTAAACAGAAAATCCCACAGCACCTATATGGTTTCATGGAATGCAGTTCAACCCTCCACCCAATAACAATACTAGCATCTAATATCCAAACCAACAGACTTAAAAACAAAAAAACTGCGTCCCTGTTGCTAGACATTCAAAAAGCATTTGATGGTATTTGGCACAAAGGCCTACTTTACAAACTGCATAAAATTGGCATACCCAGGCACTGGATTCACTTAATCGAACATTTTCTAGAAAACCGCTCCCTACAAGTTAAAGTAAATGACCAACTCTCATCAGAATTTAAACCACAGCAAGGAATTCCCCAAGGGTCGCCTCTTTCTCCATTACTTTTTAATATTTACTGCTTTGACATCCTATAAAACCACTTAGCTAATGAAAACCAGTATATATTACAATTTGCTGATGACACAGGGATAGTAGCACGTAGGAACTTAAAAAAATGCATCGAGGGACTTCAGGCACTGACAAATCTTTTAATGGAATGGTTTAAGTCTTGGAGAATGTCTATAAACCCAACAAAATCACAACTTTTAATACTTAACCACACGATAAGTAACGACTCTCCAACAATTCAGATTAACAACCACATTATAAAACCACAGTCAGTAGTCAAATACCTTGGAGTTTATTTTGACAACAAATTAAATTTTAATTATCACACCAAGATGATGAAGACCAACGCAAATAAACGCAGTAAACTTTTTCGAAAAATGACATACAGTAACGAGGCACTCGACATAAAAAGTGTAGTAACCATATACCAGTCTATAATACGACCTATTTTAGAATATGCTGCACCAATCTTCTTAAACCTAAAAAACCCAGCGATTAAAAACATTGAAACATCAGAAACATCTGCCCCTAGAACCCTGATGAAACTTCGACATCCTGACAACCCCCTTCACAATCCCAGCAACAGACTGTTGTATGAGAAAACCAAAGTAACACCAATAATGCAGAGAATCCTAGCGCTGTCCAAAAAATTTGCTCAAAAAGAAGACAACAGAGAAAAACTTAGGAACTGCATCCAAAGAAATAGAGACGAGACACCCAATTTTAAACATCCCGAATTAACTATCTCTGAAATCCTACAAGAATTTTAATTTATTTTATATTATTATTATATATATGTGTATATATTTTTTTTATTATTTTTTTAACATTACTTTTTTATATAAATTCACATTTTTTTTTTTTTTTCATTACTTTTTTATATATATTTACATTAAATTTGTTTATAATATGTTATAGTATGTAAACACTCAGGCTGAAGGACTTCGGTCGATGGCCAGTTGGTTATTTTTTTGATCAATAAAAGTCGTTAATTATTATTAGGTTAAAACAGTTTACCTATAATTATATCAAATAATTTGTAAAATAATATTATATTTATATACTTGGACACAAAGGTTAACACATTTTTGCTTAGCACATAATCACTTACAATGTTGTTCAATGCATGTATAAATATTATGTATTTAGTTTTCAAACACTTCTCTTTAAAAAAAATTATTTTCATAAAAAATAATTTAATAATGACCTTGTAAATGTAAAAGAAGTATACTTCTAGTACAGTTTGATCAGCAAGAGAAAACCTACCGAAAGAATGAGATATGCCCATAACTGAGACAATGATTGTGCTGAAGTAGAGACAGACATGTTGTAGTTCTGTAACGTACAGTACTAGGGTTTCTTACCTTAGGAGAAATAGACTTAAAAACAACAGGGATATCAACTTTAATTTTTTTTCCATCTTCAATTGTGATCATGAGCCTAGAAGCAAATTCAAAATTTGGGCACCACTTAATTTCCAATAAGGCTTCACTTAATTTTTCTATCAAACATTCTTCCCAGTTAAATGTCACAACAAGTTCTTCTGGAAAGTTTTTCTTTAAGTTTACCTACAAATTAAAAGCAAATCTTAGCAAAAAACTAACCAAACTTTTGTTTATGTTTGACTTACATTAACATCTTGATGAGTGGGGTTTTTTATTAATAACTTCCGCGATGAAGTTACACCACATTTAACATCTTCAAAAAATAACTTGGGCTTTGCTGAAAATGGGGCCAAAGATAAAACTGCGACTTCTTCAGATTCATTTTTCTGTTCAATAGGTTTTTTTGGTGGGGCTTTTTTCACCGGAGAAAACTAAAAAATGCAAAATAATACAGGAATATTGTAGATCATAACTATACGTACTTGGAAAAACATTTTTATAAATTGTCATTGATTATTTACACTTAAAACGAATAGTTTTTCAACAAACACTGCACCTCACAAAAAACGTCTATAACATTTTAAATATTAACGAACTTTTAATTTAAAAGTTTTAAAGCGCCCTCTGTAAACAACCAAAAGATTTCTTTTTTCTTTTAAGTCAAGTTGCTTTGTTATTTAAGTTCTAGATGACAGCACTGTGTTTTTAAAAGTTAAGGTAGTTGTCGTGCTATAAGCATACCATCAGAAAATTTTGAATTTTTGTATACTTATTAAGGACATGACAATACATATATCCTTAAAATTTGAAGTCGATTGACCGACTATAACCCGAGATAAATTCAATTAAAAATTGGATAATTAACATGGATTGTATAGGCTTTCTGTAGTTCTGTACCAGTTTCTTAGTTATACAGAAAAAACTAACTGTCAGAAGCTTTCAAAAAACTAACATTGTTTTAATGTATTTTTGCTGAGTTTAAAAAAAAATAATTAAAAATTTTTGACCGTCCAATTGTTTATAAATAACCGTTTAAAGTTCAACAATTTGTAAAAAGTATACATCACTAGTGTCAGATAAAAACAACTTGGCAAGGCTGTACGCGAGTATAGATATAATTTCCGCAGTAAATTCAAACGTCTGATTCAGTCTCCAATATATCTATTGGTTGAGCATAAGCGACGTTGCCGGATTAAAACTTATGAAAATATTTGAAAGTATTACGTAAAAATAACGTCTCCAGGGTACAGTCTTGCGAACAAATTATGAATCACTTAGCTACCAGCTCGTATACTTTTACGGTGCGTATAATCTAAAAATTTTTGACAATATTGTACCACGACAACTACCTTAACCACACTAATCCACATTTTTAAGATGTTTACACCGCAATCCACCTTGTGGTTTACTCCATTTACAAAATATTTATTTGAGCTGACAGGCAGATCTTTACATTCCTTAAAAACAAAAAGTAAGTATTAAATAATTTTTATTCTTATTTCTTTTATAGAACTTACCTACTTTATTTTTTAGTGCTTTCAAGTATACCAAATGTTCAGTTCAGTTCTGAAACTGATAAAAAGAAATTAGATGTGATAAATAATAGAATTGTTTGGATTGATATGGAAGTAAGTAAGTCTGGAAGACTAGATAAGCAGTTCCTAAACTTTTAAGGAAATGCAGCATTTAAATAGTTCTTTTTAATACTAGGTTAAGGGCCGGTTTATCAATGTCCAGTTAAAGTTGCAGTTAGTTATCTGGTAGATAATCTCCATGGATACCATTGTTCTCACAACGATTGATATGGAATTTAACTGTTGATTGATAAACTGGCCCTAAGGTGACCAACCTTCCTGGTTTACCCAGGACATGTTCTGGTTTTTCCTAATGTGCCCTGGTTTTAATTTTGTACTGGTTTTGCAGATTTGGTCCTGGTTTATACTAATTTTTTTATTACTGAGGTTATTAGCAATTTTGTTTAAAAAGTGGTCAGGGCTAGAGTTAAAAATTAATTTAAAAATGTAAAACTGTAAGTACATTAAATTTTAGAAGAGTTAAAAGTAAGAAAAAACCTTGTTTAAATAAAATTATGACTTTTTGTCACTTTCTTAGGATTTGTTCTATTATTTTTTAAAAAAGTGGTCGGTGCTCAGGTTAAAAATTAATTTAAAAATCTATAACTTTGGAAGAACATTTAGAAGAGTAAAAAAGTAAGAAAAAACCTTGTTTGGAAAAAAAATTATTAGTTTTCCCACTTTTTTAGGATTTTTTCTAATTTTTTTTAAATGGTCGGGGCTCAGGTTAAAAATTAATCTAAAACTTTGGAAGTACATTAAGAAGAGTAAAATAGTAAGAAAAAACCTCGTTTGAAAAATAAATTATAACAAATTATAACTTTTTCTCACTTGCTCAGTTTAAAAATTAATTTACAAATCTGAATTTTACATTTACATACCAAATATTAAAAAAGTAAGAAAAAACCTCGTTTGAATTTTTTTTTTTAATTATGAGTTTTATTAAAAGTGGTCGGGGCTCAGGTTTTTTTTTTTATTTAGAAAAATACATCTTAATGTGCCCATAATTATGGGCCAATACAGATAAATAATATATATACTGTGTCTATTTATATTTACAGTCTTTTTACGAATAAAATATAATTTAATATTTCAGTCTCTTAAATTAGACCAGGGTCGATAATTTTTGAAACCAAAAAAAATAACAGTAGGATGAAACCCATTGGAAAAGGAGAAGAATATAATAAAAATGAAAGGAAAAATAAATTACGGGTGATCTGACTTCGGGAAGTGGGAGGGGGGGGGGGTTTAAGGGTAAAAAATGGTTTATCTCGATTTCCGGCAAAACTACAAGTCCTATGGAAAAAAGTTAAATGGCAAAGTTGTAGGTAATAAAAGAATCTACAACTTTTGTAATTACAATTTTTTTACATAACCTCAAAATTTATGTGAAAAATTCAAAAAACCAAGTTTTTGGTTTTTTATTTTTATCTTTTTCAAAAAAAAATGTTTTTCCACGAAATTTGGTGAAAACTTACCTTTTTATGTCCCAAATACACTGTAATTTATTTGATTTGAAATATTTATTAGTTCGCCTTATTTTGACTTAATATCAAAAAAGCACCCTAATTTTCAATCGAAAATTCTCGCGTCACAATATCAGCTTTTTTCAAAAAGTCGGTGTGCTTTTTGTTCGTTGAAATCTCTACTTTCTGATGGTGTAAAAAAAATATACATTACTATGGTAAATGTTCTCAGAAAATGCAAAAAATATTATAATGAATAACGAAAAAAACTCGAATTCGAAAATTTATTTTAATCATTATGTACAATTTCATCAAAAAAATGGGATTGTTGCAATTTTTTTTTGTTAAAAAGTTTACTTATTAAATTCTTATAACATTTATGTCAGAAAATCTCATAAAATATAAAAATACATGTAAATCATACTTTTGAATTTAGATACTTCATTCTGATTACGTTATTCATTATAATATTTTTTGTATTTTCTGAGAACATTTACCATAGTAATGTATATTTTTTTTACACCATCAGAAAGTAGAGAGTTCATCGAACAAAAAGCACACCGACTTTTTGAAAAAAGCTGATATTTTGACGCGAGAATTTTCGATTGAAAATTAGGGTGTTTTTTTGATATTAAGTCAAAATAAGGCGAAATAATAAATATTTCAAATCAAATAAATTACAGTGTATTTGGGACATAAAAAGGTAAGTTTTTTACCAAATTTCGTGGAAAAAATTTTTTTTTTGAAAAAGATAAAAATAAAAAACCAAAAACTTGGTTTTTTGAATTTTTCACATAAATTTTGAGGTTATGTGAAAAAATTGTAAATACAAAAGTTGTAGATCTTTTTATTACCTACAACTTTGACATTTAACTTTTTTCTATAGGACTTGTAGTTTTGCCGGAAATCGAGATAAACCATTTTTTACCCTTAAACCCCCCCCCCTCCCACTTCCAGAACTCAGATCGTCCGTAATTTATTTTTCCTTTAATTTTTATTATATTCCCCTCCTTTTCCAATGTGTTTCATCCTACTGTTATTTTTTTTCTCTTTTTACCATTTTTAAAGGCTTCTGCACTGGTCTAAATTAAATAAGGGTTTTTCATTTAGAGCGTCAGAACTTTTAAATGAGATAAAAAAATAACTACATGTTATAATCCCGTAATCTATATTTTATTTTGAAGAACGATCGATGACATTGTTTTAAGTATAATATCGTTTAAATGTCCCCCTCGACTTTGCCTGACTGAATGCTTTATGAAGGCCTAATTTCTACTATTCTTTTACAAATATCGCGTGGTATACTTTGAATAGTGCGTTTAATGTTTCGTTTAAGGTCGAGAATTGTTCGTGGCTTATTTTTGTAAACCTGAGATTTCACATGATCCTTTAGATGCACAAAAGTTGACTTATTTGCCAGTAAACCAGTTTTTTCTTAAACGATAAACCTTATATTTCTCGCAACTTGCAAAATGTTTGGCAAACCGAACATGCATTTTGATGGTAAATACGAATTATTTCTAAGCGCTGTTAAATTGTTATCTGTCCATATTAATTTGACACAATGTACTGAACACATGTGTTGTCAAGATTTGACATTTACATTCCAGAGCAGCCTTATTTTTAGGGTTAAAGTTATGACGCTTTAAATGGAAAACCCTTTATATAGGTATTCTTCAATCTTTGGTTTGATGTTCCTTTATTTTTGCTGGTAATTCTTGCTGTTTCCTGTTTGATGTTATGTAAGGCCCTGATTACATTATTTTGTATTCTTTGTACTTTGTATATTTCCGTTTTGTTAGCCGTTCCCCAAAATGTAGGTTAAGTTACTTTTCACGTATGCATTATAGAGCATTTCTTTTCGTTAATTGTCAATTTGTTCGTGTTTGTCCATTTTTGTATTGTTTCTATGTCTTCTATTTTATTTTGTACTTCTTGATCTGTTCCCTCATAGAACATATCTAGGTCATCTGGGTACATCATATATTTCCCATTTAATTTGTGTAGTGTTAGCAGAGACAAAGTTGTCTCTGGTGTTAGGTCATTTATGTAGATGAGATAAAAAAAAGGCCCAAGTTTTGATCCTTGAGGTTCTTCAAAAATTACTTTGAAAGTTAAATATGGAACACAATATCCGATAAATGGCCGCCTCGTGACTGACGGCACACGTTGATTCTTTTGACAAAATTTTTGATTACATTTTGGCATAGTGCCGGCTCATTTCATCAATGACCTGTCGAATCTCATGTTTTAGTTTATGAACTGTTCTTGGGTTATTAGCATAAACCTTTTCCTTCAAAAAATCCCAAAGAAAGAAATCTAACGGCGTCAAATCGCATGATCGGCCTGGCCACATCACATCCTCGCGGCGAGAGATAACTCTGCCTTCAAATTTTGTCCTCAATAATTCCATGGTTTCGTTGCTGTGCATGGTATGCTGTATTTAAATATTGTGTCAACTGAATCTTGTAAGCATGAAAATGCAGGTTTTTGGCCAAAATTCGCTGTAAACTGCTTCGAAAGAGTCTCAATTGCTGGGAACGGTGGCGAATCGAGGTGGAAGAATTATGTTCAACACTTTCACTAACTGCTGCAATATTTTCAGCAGACCGAGCTGCACGAACACGGACACTTTTTGGTTTGAATTGACCCGATTAATCGGACCACAGTACGGCGAGAAGGTGCGTTATGGTGACCAAAAAATCCACGATATCTTCCATGATACAACAAACCGTTGTTGTATCATGGATATCTTCAAACCGTTTCCTAAAAATTCTCACCATTTCGATAGTGGATTTTGCGTTGTGCGTCCGTGTAAATCTCCATGACTTAACCTCAATGTTCACACATGACCACTGTCCAACAACAACGCTGTACGATTGACACAAAAAAAAATGACACTAAATTTAAAATAGGCGGTCTTAATGGGACACCCTTTAGATTAACCATTGCGGTTGTCGTACTTTTTTTTATTGAAACCCGTGTTGAGATTGAGATAGTAATGATAGTTTTTAACATATGTGTTGATAATCTATGCAGTATAGTTTTAAAAATTTCGATAAAAACTGCCAAGTTTGAAATGAATCTGTAGTTGTTGGGTTGCTATTTTGCTATTGCTATTTTCAATTCCTCCGGGAAGTTACCATTTTTTATATGTTTATTAATTAGTTTAACTTATATTCGAGATATGATTTCAACTATTTTTTATTAGTGTTGGTTTTATTTCGTCATATCCAGGTGATGCATACTTTTTAATTTTTGTATTACTTTTTCAACCTCTTTTTTGTTTGTTGGTCGTATATATTGGAGCGCGTTTTTTGGTCCTTTTAATTTGCTTGCTAGTTTTTTTTCCAATTTCGGGGCAATATTTATTGAGTATTTCTAATGTCTTTTTTGGTTTTTACTATTTTATCTCTCTATTAATTTCGTTTATTTCAGTTTTTTTGATTTTATTTGTTCCTATTTGCATGTTATTTAATATTCTCCATATTTTTTTGCTGTTACCTTCAGCCTTATTAATTTGTTCTGAATAATAATTTTTTCTTGTCTTGTTTATTAGCTTTTTAAACGAAATTTGTTTTTGTTTAA